GTTTTCCGTTCTCTCTAGTCTTAATTTCATTCTCTCTTCGCCATTTCACCTAGCAAACTACATAAGTGAACTATTTCCAAACTCCGGTCAGGGTATGAGCATAGTTGTGTAAAGTGACAACACAACTATGGGGATTGTGGTGTCGTCCTTTTTACTCCTATGGGATCGACAAACCTAACTTACCACAAAATCGCTACATAGCTCTATGCACTTGCAGGCCATCATATGCCACCAAGCGAAGGATTCAATCCTCAGGCCAATTTTGGGAATAGACCCGAGTCTCGGGCTACTAGGATCAGCTGAATTCTACTATCCTTCATGTGAACACCAGAGTTTAGGCCGGCACACACCTTGAGGGCTACTTGCTTTATATCTTGACAAAGAATAAATTGTAATAATCAGAAATATTCTGTGAAAATTTTCCGCCTAAAAAACAGCATGGTGAAAAAAAATCCACAGTGGCCGGCCATCTACATCGACATCTCATGACCGAGGTGGTGTGTGCTACTTCGGAACCAGCCCAGTATGGAGACCGGCTGTGAACGGATGGCTGCACAGAATACTTTTCTCACCGTGCATCTTGGCTAAACTCCTTCAAAATTTTAAAGACCGGGGTGGTATATGACGCCTCGTATGCAGTCCGACATTGGATCTCGGCTGCAACAAGTCACCGCCATGCAGAAAAAACTATAACCTGAGGTGAGGCGTGAAAATAACAAGGTGTCTGATAAAGGCTAAAGGAACCTACAACAGGCTCCTCAGATGTCCGACGTGTAAACTCTTCAGGTACACTAGGACGATGCTCGAGATCGAAGATGGGAAGACTGTTTAGCTAGCTTTCAAGGCCAACGATCGAAGACGACGAATAGTTCGGAAGAATCGAGGAGTGTTCCTAACATGAAGACCGGTTCAGGGGCAACTGATGGTGTCCCTCACAAGGGGTCTCTCCCGGGCGTGTGGGGTTTCGGGTCTACAAAACTGCCTATTGGATTGCTTGTGTATCGCGTTTCTGGCCGGATCTCCTTCGACATGAGCATCATCGCCGATTGTGCATCACCCAAACGTCGAGAGTACACGGTGACGTGTTCATGTATGAACAACAAAAACATGAGGATGTAGTATATGAAGTTGATGCGGATGATTTCAGAATACAAATGATAACTGGACAAAAACACAGGATAACCTCTGTCCATCTGAATGATTTATTATTATTATTTTCCGTTGGTTAGATTTTACTATTAGTTAACAGTGGTGTAAAATGACCAAGCACACAATCTAAAATATTAATGGGCAGGGCACAGGGACCATTTAATTTCTTGACCACGTCGATTTCGAAGTTGTATAACCCGATACAATTGGACGGCCGCCCCTCCACGACCATCCCTCTGTGCCAAGTCCTCGTTCATAATTTATGTCTCACCACTGAAGTCATCCACCAGATCTAAGACATAAAACCTCCCGAAGTCTTTTTAATGACCACACTAGCATGCTTCCGTAGGGAATCATTGCAGAACAATCTACAGACATCACCATCCAACCGACCAGATAAAATCACATCCACCAACCGAGGATGGTAACGTCACCAGCCGGCACCGCACACGCGGAAAGCCATCTCATCGCAGCACCCCACATGCCCAACCGTCGCCAGCACTCCGTGTCGTCCGTCATCATCCGGTCATCACATCATGGTGGAACTGACCGGACACAAGCCCAGTATGACACGCCACCAGCTCGGGCCAGATCTGGCCGATGGCTAGCATCCCGAGACCGATTAGGCATGCTGCCGTAGCACGAAGGATGTGCGGAAATGTTTTTATGGAGTCATTTGGAATGTCACGGTCCCAGCTATGTTGAAAATGTTTTTATGGAGCCTAGCTCGCCATTCTCTCCCAGAGGATGTGCGTAAAAAAAGAAACACGGCGACTGCGAATTCTTGTAGTGTTGTGTTTGCGGCATGCAAGACTCATGGAGGCACAACTTGATCGAGTGCATGATGGCACGCTGCGTGTGGGCACTAGTTGGCCCCCCATTGCTGGAACACTTAATCGCCACTACTGACCCAAAGCAGCGCGGCCGCCTTGGCCATCTCTTGATGGAGGGGCGTGTCCTCCTCACCTTCTTCTCGTAGGGGAATGGTTGCTCGCCGGGGAGCTCCTGGTCGCCGGGCTGCGCGGCGGCCACCGCGGCCACCTCCTGCCGGCGGCGGAGGCGGCGCGCCACCCAGAGCAGCGCGCCTGCGTTGGCCTCCGTGAGCGCGAATAGGCCGAGAAGGAAGAGGAGAGGGCGGCGTGAGGTCATGGATGGGTACCCGGGCGAGCGGCGGCGGCCGGCGGTGGGGCAGCGAGGCGGCCGGGCACAGCCTAGGGTTTGGAGGGGGAGATAGAGGCGGGGCGGGAGGAAGAGGATAGGGAGCGGCGCGAGTGGGAGAGGAGGAAACGAGGGGGACGAATGCAGGAGTGAGGCGGCTAGGGTTATCTCCACGGGAGCCGTCACTTTTATACCTATGTGCGTGAAATGACGAAGATGCCCCCGGGGGACGCCGGAATTACGAGCGGTGGCATGAACGGGGTGAAACTATTCATTGCTACAGGGCTCCTCTTTGATCCAACGGCGCAGGTCATCCGAAGGCTTGATCTGATGGCCCAGATCCGATCAAGCCACCCGATCCAACGGCCAGGGATCGCGAGCGGTGAGGAGCCGGGAGGATGACCGGCATCCTTATTTCTCGATATACGTAACAGAAGCCGTATGATGTTGTGCAATCAATTAATCAACCAATCCATCCAATGAGTGAGTGTAAAATAGAAGTACAGCAAGGGCAATGAGCTCAATCGAAGAACCAGACAACTTAGATCGATGGTTGAGTCAGCTAGACATGCACGGTGGTCTGTCGTCTCAATACTTCTTCATTGTCACACAAATCGCATCATAGTCGTCAGGGCGTGGGTGAACATGCTGCCACACAAGCTACTCCCTCCGTTCCAAAATAGATGATCCAATTTTATACTAACTTTAGTATAAAGTTGGGTCATCTATTTTGAAACGGAGGGAGTACAAGTTATGTACCAGAAACAGAGGAGTCGTAGTTCAAGCTACGGTCACAATCTGAGATTATTGTATCAAATTTATATTTATAATAATTAAATGATTCCATCCATGACGAGCAAGGTAGGCTTCACGTCCTCAAGCTCATTGCCGCCTTTTCCTTTTTTTTACAGCATTTTTGCCATGTCCATATCCAGGATTTTTTTACTGTTACAACCCATGATGTACCTACATAGATAAACATGCTCCAAGTTATGAATTGAAAAGCGAAAAACTAATACACACGGCATGTGCTTTCTGCAATGAGCTGGAAAGTATACAACATCTTTTCTTTGATTGTGTGGTTGCCCAACAAGTCTGGAGAGTGATTTCTGATTATGTTGATATACCTATTCCTGAATCCTTTACTTCATTTATTTCCTTTTGGAAGAAGAAGAAATGCTATGATGTTGTTAACTTAGTTTCTGCTGCTACCTTATGGAGCTTATGGTTGCTTCGGAATGAATTTGTTTTACAGGGAAGAAAATGGAGAAGTATCAGGTGTGCGCTTTGGTGGGGAAGCATATTCATCAATGGAAGGTGCTGTGTACGGACTCCCAGGCTGCGTTACTCCTCCGATGCTTGAAGCTACTCGACCATCATCGTGGGGAATTGCTTAGGATCGCTTGGCGTGTTGATGATGCTGGGGTTGGTAGATAATGGAGCTTGCTGATCTGCTCTCTTTCACCTCTCTTTCTGTTTTCTAGCCAAAAAAGACTAGGTTCTGTCGAGAGACATTTTCGCCTGTCAGTCTTGTAATAATTCTGCTGCAGGTACTTCTGGCTGGAGCCGAGAGCTGGTAACAGTCTGGTGTTGGTTGC